CATCAGCATATCAGAATCCACATCAGCACACTACATAAAATACCAGAGTTTAGAATAGGTCTAGATACTCCTAGAGTCATCAGCATATCAGAATCTACATCAGCACACTACATAAAATACCAGAGTTTAGAATAGATTTAGATACTCCTAGAGCCATCAGCATATAAGAATCCACATCAGCACACTACATAAAATAACAGAGTTAAGAAAAAGTTTAGATACTCCTAGAGCCATCAGCATATCAGAATTCTCATCAGCACACTACATAGAATACCAGAGTTTAGAATATGTTTAGACATATAGAGCCATCAGCATATCAGAATCTACATCAGTACACTACATAGAATACCAGAGTTTAGAATAGGTTTAGATACTTATAGAGCCATCAGCATATCCGAATCTATATCAGCACACTACATAGAATACCAGAGTTTAGAATTTCAATAGGTTTAGATACTACTAGAGCCATAAGCATATCAGAATCCTCATCAGCACACTACAAAAAATACCAGAGTTTAGAATAGTTTTAGAAACTCCTAGAGCAACCAGCATATCAGAATCCACATCAGCACACTACATAGAATACTAGAGTTTAGAATAGATTTAGATACTTCTAGAGCCATCAGCATATCATTATCCACATCAGCACACTACATAGAATACCAGAGTTTAGAATAGGTTTAGATACTCCTAGAGCAACCAGCATATCAGAATCAATATCAGCACACTTCATAGAATACTAGAGTTTAGAATAGGTTTAGATACTCCTAAAGCCATCAGCATATCAGAATCAATATAAGCACACTACATAGAATAATAGAGTTTAGCATAGGTTTAGATATTCCTAGAACCATCAGCATATCGGAATTCTCATCAGAATACAACATAGAATAACAGAGTTAAGAAGAGGTTCAGATACTCCTAGAGCCATCAGCATATCAGAATCCACATCAGCACACAACACAGAATACCAGAATTTAGAAAAGGTTTAGACACTTCTAGAGTCATCAGCATAGAATATTAGAATTTAGAATATCATTTTGAATATTTTAGATATTATTTATTAGATATTTAGATATTTCGCAACTGGCGTTGCCCTGGGTTATACAAAAATCAAGTATCGTGCCGTATTTCTTTGGGCAGAACCGTAAGCTCCTCTACTCTCATCCCTTATCATGATAAATCAAAACACAGGAAAAAGGCTTCAAGTTTTATTGTGGAACAGAACTTCAGTCTAATAATAAAACTTTTTTAGGATCACAGAAAAAGCATTGACGAGCATAATATAAACCATTTCTTATCAAAACAAAGGCATTACACTCATCAGGCATTCCTGGGGATCACCTCTATCAGCTCATCATATGTAGGAGGCCGCTATATAACCCTCAGAGAGAATCCTAAAGCAGCACTTCTTCTTTTCTTCTTGATCTCCTTCTTATCCTCATCCTTCTTCTCCTCATCCTCCAGGAAAACCTCATCATCCTCCTGAAGAATCACCACTTCCTCGAACCCATCCTTCTGCTGAGGCCCGGAGACCTCCCCTCCGAAATCACTCCTGACTCCGTAAGAACCAGGAGTAGGCTGACTCTAAGATGCCAGCCGGCTCCTCAGCAGTAGAACCAGCTCCACTCACCTTCAGTCTTCTCATCCTCATCCTCTTCAACTTACCAGGCCTAGAACTATTCTTCTTTTTCACTCCAGACCTCTTCTTAGGAGTACTCAGAGCAGGGTTCTTTCTCATCCTTCCATCTGGTTCTCTCTTCATACTCCCAGTCAGAGGACAACTAATTTAACCAAACCATCCTCTTCCTCCTCACTTGAGTCTCAGCTCTCCTCTTCTTCAAACACTCCGCTTCTCCTCCAGAGAATTACACACAGCCAGTCTCAACCTCCTCTCTACCTCCTCCACAACCGGAGCTTTCTCATCGAATTTTCTCATGTGAAATAATCTCATACCATCATATAGTCCTCCGTAGAATTGTTGAAACCCTACATCTTTCTCCATCCTGAGAAAAAACTTGCTTATCTCCGAGGGGTTCAATCTTGTCCATGAGGTTTTCCTGGAGGATGAGGAGAAGAAGGATGAGGATAAGAAGGAGATCAAGAAGAAGAGGAGAGGTGCTCCTCGGGGGTTCTCTCTGAGAGTTATGGAGCGGCCTCCTACATATGATGAGCTGATAGAGGGGATTCCCATGGTTGCCTTCCCTGAGGATTTGGAGATGGAGTTGGAGATTCCTTGGGAAGAACGGTTCTTTTAAACATTTCAGATAGTGTTATAAACTTATATCTGTATTATTTCCAAGTGAATAGTGAATTTCAGGTAGTTTCCAGCTATTGGAGAAGTCCAGTCGCGGGGTGCAGATATAACTCTTGTTCGTTTCTCGCTGGTGGCGAGTGTTACGCTAGCACATGCAGCGTAGAAGGAGTCAGTGAATGTGGATTGCAGGGAGGATCTATTCACCCCTGTACTGTATAGGTGTTCTGTACGATTGTTTTCTAGAAAGAGTTGGAATCACAGAACCTGTTCTTACCGACAACATTTGCGCATACTACGCAGACGCAGCGGACTTGTGTGTTTTTTACAGTTTGCAGTATATACGAAAGTCGGATTATTAAAATTAGTTGTGTTATAGTATGTATTCGTGATTATTATCGTGCTGAAATCAGCGGACTACTGTGGTAATTATGATTATAAAATTTTAAAGTATTCTTTTGTGTTTTTTGTATTGTATATTATGATTATTAGCTTGATTGCAGTTTTTTAATGCCTGATGAGTGTAATGCCTTTGTTTTTTTAAGAAATGGGTTATATTATGCTCATCAATCTGATCCTAAAAAAAGTTTTATTTACTAGACTGAATAAAACTGTGTTTTGATTCATCATGAGAAGGAATGAGAGTAGAGGAGCTTACGGTTCGGCCCAAAGAAACTCAGCATGGTACTTGATTTTAGTATAACCCAGGGCAACGCCATTTGCGAAACAATATATATTTGGATTTTTCTAAAGCTTCTAAAAGTTCCTAAGCTTAGACTTATTGCAAAAATTAAAGCACACGGAATCCAGGAGATGTTCTAAGGTGGATGTCGGAATGGTTGTCAGGTCGTAATCAGAGAACAGTCATAAATGGAAGCTTTTCAGATTGGGCAGAGGTAATCTCTGGGGTTCCCCAGGGATCGGTACTTGCATCCATTAACGATCTGAACACTTTCTCTCAGCTCATTAGTATCAAGAATAAATTTGTAGATGATACTAAGCTAGGTCATAAAGTTCATACAGATAGGGATCGAGAAGTACTTCAGGATTGTGTAGACAAACTGCTTGTATGGGCAACAGACTGCGCTGAGTGCTCTTTGTCTAGTCGTTCACTTAACTAAACCAACCTTACTGCTGATACTTGTGGATTCTTTTGGTCCAAGCTTTGTTGTTATTGTGGTGTCCATCGTCTTCATTTGTATCTTTTTTATCTGTTGCGTAGCTTCAAGCGATCTAAATATTCGAATTCAGGAAAATCCTCAAAATAATAAATTTTTTTATGATTTGTTTTTTATGAACTGACCTCGATATTATCTTATCCTGCTTCCCAATAGATTTAAACAGAAGCTTGACTTGAGCTGGAAAAAAAAGTATTTTATATGAATAAAAAAAACAATTATTAGAAGAAAAAGGTTCAAACAGACTGTCGACCCAAGAGGTGCATTAAATGCATGCCCGATTCACAACGGCACTTTTTAAACCTTTATCCGAGCAATAATAAGGAAGATATCAATATTTTCCACATAAAAAATGTTAGATTCTGAAAACTTACTTTATTTAAAGAGAAAACATTTGAAAATTATCAATATTCAGAGAGGAAAA